TGTTAATTATAACGTACGACAAAAACAAACAATTTTGATGCAAAATATGTCAAAGTCCCTACAAATAACAACATATAATAATAATAATAATAATAATAATAATAATTCTATAATCACCACCCTTATCATTAACTAACCTGTATCACTCCGTGGTGCAGGATATTTTGTTGAAAAGGAGATAATACTAAGCCGGCAGCTGGCCAAGAAACTTCTAGATTCTTTGTAACCCAAAGATTTATTATTCACAAAATCCTACTACTGGACGTTATCGTGTGACTCCAATTTACATATCATTTCCTCAAGAACTATTTTAATATTATCCATCAAACATCGTCCATGCCTGCCAAGTAATATCTTCCCTTGAAGTTCCCTGGCCAAAATTTTACAAAAAATTTCTCTTTTCCCCGATACGTTCTACATGTCCCATTCAGCTTATCCTCCTTAGCAGTGTCCGTTCAAGAGTGCAAATTATGTAACTTTCACCATTCACATAATTCACTTGCTACTTTCTCTTGTCTTAGAAGCAATTATTATTATTAACTTATTATCACCTTTGCGATGTTCTAGACATGGGTTAACTTTGACGAGAGCTAATCAACGTTTGCTGTGAAATTTATTTTCAAGTGATTCCGCTCCTACTACTGTTATAGGTACTACTACTACTACTAAGGCCGCGCCATAGCTCAAGCGGTGAGTCCCTGGCTTCCCACCACGGCGGCCCGGGTTCGATCCCGGGTGTGGCCAAGTGGGATTTGTGGTGGACAAAGTGGTGCTGGAGCGGGTTTCCTCCGAGTACTTCGGTTCCCCTGCCAATCTTCATTTCACCAATTGCTCCACAATCACCCTCACCTATCATCTGGGGCTGGTACAACAGGCCAGAAGTGGTCGCAGAACAAGGGACTTAGTCCCACCCAAGTAGCAATAAAACTACTACTACTACTACTACTACCACCACCACCACCACCACCGCCACCATTGCCATTACTACAGATGAAACAAATGGTTGATATTCTCCTCGTTTCTGAGTCTGCTATAAACCTCAACACACCTCATTGCTTAACAGACACGCGTGTAATTATGCGTAACGCTACAGCCTTTTCTCGGACTCGATGTTTTCGTGGGTTATATGACGATGCCTTCAGTATCGCGAATGATAGGATCGTAGATGAATGATGATGAACTGGAAAGGACTTGGAAACAAGTGGTAGCGGCCAATCCAGGCATTACTCCCGGAATTTTCCTGGACAGACTGAGGAAAATGATGAAAAATCTCATTCAGGATAACCAATGTCCCGTTCGTGATTCGAACCAAGCACCACCCAGATACAAGTCTAGGGCATCATGTATAGACCAAGCTGTTCGGTTGATATAGTATTTTAATTCCCCTCCCCCCACATTTGAGATTTTATAGCAAATGTAAGTTTAGGGACCTCTGTTTCACGTATTTACTGTACCTACAGACAGGGTGTGGGGGAGTCCAGAGGAGCGAGCTTCAGACTGAAGTTAATGCGTACCACAACAACACCGAAAACACCAGAATTTAGGATATAGTGTCCTAATTATTATTAATTATACTACCGTTACATGTTTCGGTGCGTCTACAGCATATTGTGTTCAGTCAGTGAGAATAATTGATTAACAAGGTCTTCCTACCCACGATCAAATTGAAACAGCTTCGTCCGTATCAGTCTCTACTCTAAGCTTAAGTCGTTTTGACTTCTTATGAAGTGAGCATCGAAGATTACAAACGTAACACTGCACCTAAATCAGCCCAAGTCTCGAATTTCATGTTCCTTTTTTCACTTTTGTTACTTTAATTTCTTCTGATGATGAACTCAGTAAAGTGCGCAGTTATGGAAGGTTTCCTAGAGGCGACGCTCGAAATTTATTTCCATCTCTCTATGGCTCTACAAACTTTTGTTGGGCCTTGGCCGTTTTTTCAGTTTCTTCATCTTTTACACAGTCGCTGGGACTCCTTGTACGGGGGATCAGCCCATTGCAAGGTCGCTACCTACACGCTGGATAGCACAAACACAGAATAAACGCACACAGACACTCATGACTCAAGTGGGATTCGAACCCACGATCCCAATGTTTCAGAGGGGCGAAGATAGTTCATGCTTTAGACCAAGGGTCTCCAAACTACGGCCCGCGGGCCACAACCGGCCTGCGATGTGATTTTATCCGGCCCGCGAAAGAATTGTGCAGAAATGCGCCAAATGCACAAATTTTCCAGTGAGTACTGGTAAATGTGATTCCGATCTTATTGACCTGACATATTATACTGCAGTTCGATGGCTTAGCTGTGGAAAAGTTCTTTCGCGCTTCTTTCAGCTCAGGTATGAAATTGATATATTTCTTACCGAAAAAAAAAACCATCACGAACCACTTTTATCAGATACCGAGTGGCTTTGGAAATTAGAATTTTTTGCTGAAAATAACTTAGTCTGTGATTTATTTGCACTTATCAAGGCATTCAGAGCAAAGCTGATACTTCTGGAAAGCCAAGTGAAAAATTGTAACTTTGTTCATATGCGATACTGTGCAGAGTTGCATAAAAAGGGTGAAGCAGAATTTCCTTCCTCGTTTGAAAATTTAATCATTTCAGGTTTGAAAGAACAATTTCGGAAGCGATTTGCTGATTTGGGTTCCAGTGCTCTGGAAATTAGATTGTTTCAAAATCCGTTTGACTGTGATGCTGCAGATGTCCCAAGTCAAATTCAAATGGAAATTATTGAACTTCAGGAAAATTATCATATTAAAGACAAATACAAGGAAGGAAATTTGATCGAATTTTATAAATTTCTGAACTCTGAGCAATTTCCAATTTTAAAGAAATTTGCTTGTAAATTTATCTCCATTTTTGGGACGACATATCTGTGTGAACAAACTTTTTTCCAGATGAAGTACATCAAGTCGAAATACAGGGCAAATTTATCCGATGAACATTTAAAGTCGCTACTTGCGATTAGCGTTTCAAAATTTGAACCTCAATTTAATCAGATTTTAAGAATGCAAAAAGAGTTCCACCATTCACATAAATTATTATAATTTGTGATGAAAATACGAGCATTTGCTGCTACTGTCTGTTGTCATTAATATACGATAATTTATTCTCACGTACTTTGTATTTAGTTTATGAAATTCTGTGCTTTCAGAAAACTCATATTAATTTCTCATTTTATCCGGCCCGTTGAAAGTGCTGAATTACCTAATGTGGCCCGCGGTTCGAAAAGTTTGGAGACGCCTGCTTTAGACCGCGCGGCCACCGTGATCGGCTGTAAATTGTTTATATTGTCCACATTTACCATTCAACGAGTCTCCTACAGCCCCGGTGAAGAAGACACACAAGGAATGAAACGGATCCTTATTCTATCCACTATATTCGGGCTCGAGAGCAGGAGAACCTAGTTCACAGTGAGACTGTGCTTGTGTCAGAAGAGTAGCGCACTGACCACCAGTCATTGACTCATTGTAGTCGTAACACTAGTCTCCCGACGGCTTGATCCCCTGAGAGGAACAGAAACATACCGTTAAAGGCGTTTTATTCATAGAACTTCTTCGGATGGCGGACAATAAGAGGCCAACAATATTCAGCATATAAATCCAAGATTAAATTGCAGAATGAAAGTACAAATTCTATGACACCTATCACAAGGTCGTCTCTACAGAATCTCTACTAGTATGCGTTCTTATGCCAAGAGAATTGCAGCATACACCGTTATGATACCTGCTGTTCAGTTACAATAAGTTTACACATCACATTCATGTTCTAACAGCGCATTAAAAGACAAAACTAACACTTCATAGCCGATAACATGTTCGGTACGTAGGTCTGTCTGCCGGACTACAGTTATGCATTACAAGTATGGGAAAGCTGTCACAACTAGCGCACACAGTGAGATTTTGTTTTTAGGTTCTGATTCAGAAAAATCGTTCAACCGTTCAGACGGAAGAGTCGGACGCTCCTCGCTTCATACAAGGTCCTGGAGATTCGGACTGCTAGAGGAACTGACAGACCTGTAGTTTCAACGCATTACAACTAAATCGTATTCAGATTACTGCAGATGATAGAAATGTCACCTGTTATTATACATGAATTCCTGGCACCTCCGTGGAGGTCCTGGAGATTCGGACTGCTAGAGGAACCGACAGACCTGTAGTTTCAACGCATTACAACTAAATCGTACTCAGATTACTGCAGATTATAGAGATGTCACTTGTTATTATACATGAATTCCTGGCACCTCCGTGGAGGTCCTGGAGATTAGGACTGCAAGAGGAACAGACAGACCTGTAGTTTCAACGCATTACAACTAAATCGTACTCAGATTACTGCAGATTATAGAGATGTCACTTGTTATTATACATGAATTCCTGGCACCTCCGTGGAGGTCCTGGAGATTAGGACTGCAAGAGGAACAGACAGACCTGTAGTTTCAACGCATTACAACTAAATCGTTCTCAGATTACTGCAGATGATGGAAATGTCACCTGTTATTATACATGAATTCCTGGCACCTCCGTAGAAAGTTTACATTCGCGTGTTTAAGATCCTCTTCTGAGAGTAAAGTTGAAAACTGAAATTTTAAACCCGAGACCCTTCAGATACATTGCACAGGAGACTGGTGGTTTAAAGTTTTAAAGTTACTGTACTTCCGAAAAAGAACTTCAACGCGTGACTGTAAGATTCTTACGTAGGTGCCAGTAACGCGCGCAAGTCAACAGACAGCATTTCTAGTATCTGCTGTAATATAGGTAAGATCTGTTTATATTATGCTTGGATTGTAGGTCTGTCGGTTCCGCTAGCAAACAGTATCTCCGCGGCACGACTCGAAGGGAGGAATGTCCGACTCTTGCGTCTGAGCGGTTCAACGATTTGCATGAGGCTCTGAAAATATTTTACTATATATATTTTATTAAAGGAAATACAAAAATTTCATCAGAACAAAAAACAGCTTGCACTGAATTTTAATTACATATCAAAAGCGCGATAAACCACAAACGGAAGGTCTGACCTCGTATCGCAAGCAACAAAACATAAGATATTAGGCCTACATTTCATTGACAATTTCCATGTTAGTGTTTATTACTCTATCAGAACTCTTAGCTTGTTCCTCTTCCTTCAGGAAAACAACAGGCTTATCTGCAGGTCTGTCTCCTCCAATTTAAGCTTTTGAATCTATTTATCACTTTTCGAGTAGCTTGGTATAAATGTTATGCCATTGGAAGCATCCTTATCTTAGTACGTTCAATTTCGGGTGCTGACATTCTGTATGGTATTAGCCTTTGAAGAACATGAAGCTTTCGTTTAAGGCAACTTCTTTTAAAGAATATAAAATAAATCACGGTAGCTGAACGAAGGTTTTCTTTAGTATTTAGGCTGGTGGCGAAAGCTAATGAACCATTGGGCCTAGGTATGATAATTCATAAACATGACTACATATGAGTAAAGTGTTGTTTTTAAATTGATAATAACAAACTTTGTGAAGGTATGAAACTTTGAGGTTAAATCTAACAAATTTAACTTAAAATCTATAGTAAAGAAACGGGTTCTTCACAAAAAAAGGATCAATAATAATATTCATAACAGTAGGACTAGAGCTCTATGCAACTGGTGAATAGTCGTTCTGTATTCTGGACGGAACTCTTCTTTTCTTAGAAGCACATAATTTATATTGTTACACGCCTCGAATAATTGGCTTCAGCTATTCCAAGATGGCGAGGCGCGTTCCTCCCACTGATCCCAAGCACCAAGTAAATCGACACCACAAGAATCAGTGCTTCTAAGAGATTTGTGCTAGTACGGAAACGGCTAATGCTGCCAGACTGTACCAGAAGGATATAACACTCACCAACAGCAGGCAGTCCAACGGAATGACAATCCTACCGAATCTTCACCATGTACAATCTTTTGCTCTCAGATCGCTGACAGACAGCGCAGTTAGGATAACATCCAACAGAAAATTGCCAGCCTTGCCTATAGAGAGCCTCGGCAGGATTTTTTGTGTGTGTAAAACAGCACAGGCCAATAAAAAATCCGCAGTAGGTGAGAGATACCTGTAACGACAAGATAAAGAAGGATATTTGCCTGTTCAAATAGTTTCTCAATTCGTTTCTTCGAAATTATCCGACTATATCCTGTCAACTCCGGCATATTTTGGCTTCGAACTGTAACAATGTAAGAGTGCCCAGTTCTTTCTTATGTTATTTAGTTATATTATTTCAACTGCATAGCATTATACATAGGTTGGATAAAAAGTAGTGGCAACGCCTCTAGTTCTGAAATCACTTTATTCCCTGAGGTAAGCACACTTACATTCCTTCAATATAATCTCCCCCCATATGTACCACCTTCTGCCAAATTTGTGAAAGGCGTCGTACACCATCAGCGCGTCCACTTCTGTTGATGTCCAGAAGTGACCGCCCTACAGCACGAATAATCTCCTCTCTTGCGTTGCAACGTGTCCCTCGCAGTGGTTCTTTCATTTTGACAAAGAGATCATAATCGCACGGACTCATATCGGGTGAGTATGGCGGATGTTGCAGTATCTCCCATCGCCAGCGGCGATCAAGGAGATCCTTGACAGCGTCAGCAGTATGAGCCCTTGCATTGTCATGAAGGATGATGGGGTTCGTTGCCAACAAGTGTCGACGCTTTCTCCTGGGTGCTGGACGAAGATGATTACGCAGGAAATTCCAGTAGTAGGCAGCGTTTACTGTCTGTCGTTGAGGTACAGTGTGGTGCAGTATCACTCCATCAATGTCACATGCCACAATAAACATTGCCTTCACATTACTCTGTGTACGGCGCACTTTCTTTGCACGAGGTGAGCCAGGATGCTTCCATTCATTTGATTGTCGCTTCATGTGAGGTCCGTATGAGCGAGCCCAAGTTTCGTCCAGAGTGACGATCCTTCCAAGGAAGTCGTCACCTTCCCTCTGCTACCGGTCCAACAAGTCCTGTGCAATTGCATAACGTTGCCATTGTTGCACCTCGGACACTGTATTGGGTACCCAACGCGTTGTAATTTTGCGGTATCCAAGAATATTGTGCAGAATGTGGAGCACGGTTTCGTGACATACGCCTATCTTAGCTGCTAACTCCCACGCAGCCCATCGATGATCGACATCCAGCAAAGAAGCAAGAAGCTGAATTGTGTGGTTGTCAACATGGTGTCGTCCTGAACGACGCTGTCCTGAATGGCATCCCACCCTTCACGGAACAATTTCACCCGTCGTGCCACTGTGCGATATGGCAAAGCAGCATCACCACATGCTTCTCGCAGTCCCTGATAATAGTTTTGTGCACTACGACCTCGTGCTTCAACCGGGCTCCTGCACTTCAAGACGATGCACAATGCAACTCAATGAAACACAACTGGAGCCACTCACTGCACTACTTTTTATCCAACCCTTGTATTTCGTCCAATGACAGGGGAAAATAATCATGAATGGTTAACAGGTAAAGATAAACGGTGCATTTTTCTCTGCACCTAAGCTCCACACCATGAAGACGTATAGAGGCGTGGACTTAAAACTCCCGGAACTCTACGCCTTTGGACATTGTGGAGGTGAGTAGTAACCTCGACGTTCCGACCACTTTACTCTGGTTACAGAGCACCTGGTACCCAGATCTGATCTGCGAGTGGCAATAAGGAGAAGAACCTAACTCTGGCCGTAAGAATGTGGAAAGAAACTTTCGTGACCGATTTCAAATTAGGCCTAATATCCTATATTTCATTTAGAGACTGAAAAATAACAAAACATCTTTAAGTCAGATTTCACGGCAAACCAGACCGAAATTTTAACCAAGAACACTCCAGACACAAATCTACAGACTGCCACTGCACCATCTAATCGGATGTGAGAGCGACATCCGTTAGATCAATGTCTCTGGTCGTGTAAGTATCAACCAACGACACGTACAGTGAATATTCAAAATAACTGGCTTCTTGAGAGAGACAGAAATGTAACAGTATATATGTAACCATCATTTTCATTGGAGAAACTCAAGTGAAGGGACCACTTAGGGAATTCCAGAAATAAATAGGACGAATTCTGATCCTTAAAAAAACAAAACAAAAGAAAGTATGATGTTGCTAGCTAGATACAGCTGGTTCAAGACCGGACACAGTGTGGTTCTATAAAAGTGGAAAATATCTTGACCATTTCAGCCATCGCCTCTTTAAGACAAATCATGGTGTTGGTTACCTAAGCATGTAAAAACGCGTTTGTTTATTCATAGCATGCTGGTTATCAGTCTGTTTGCTTCGTACATTATTTTAAAGGCTGATTCATCAGCAGAGATCATTTAGCATCAAAATGATGGCGGGATTATAGCGTCTGCTGATTCGTGTATTAGGTACAAAATGATGGAAAGGCTTATATGAAAATACTATCACTGAATCTGTCCGGAGGAACTGGGGAAAATCACGACAATACGACCACTCCCATTGTAATTTCATATATGTGAAATATATAACACATCTACCATCTGCTGGCGAATCTTTGAACTACTTGAAGAAAATTAGATGTTGCCAACATGACAAACATTTTGCGGCGTTTCCATCTTGGTTTTGGATAAAATTCTTTCATTTATGAGTATTGATTTAATGACTCCTAAAACTGAAAATATTATGTAACTCTGACTGAGTGGATGATTTCAGAATAATTAAATGGAAAGGATGTGGAATGAAGCAGGCGTTGTATAATTTAAGGGACTGTACCGGCATTCGCCAGGGAGAACAGAAGTAAATAATGAAAAACTTATGATTGCTGGTCTCCAGACCAAGATTGTAACCTCGGGGCTTCCCGAATACGAAGCATAGGTTCTCACTATTCCACTCCGTCTTTGAATCACACACTGAAAATTTCCAGGGTAATAATTCCACCTGGTGGGCCAGGGAACATTACGAGTTTGTGTTAATATATAGTAAAAGGTAAAGTAGGGGCAGTGGCTATATAGATCCACGTTTTCTTCTCGGCACTAGTTGGAGGTGGGTGGTCAGCTTCACGCCCCGGCCGCTTTACCTCCGGTACCCATTGTAGGTTGGGTGGACCTCAGAGCTGGTCTGGACGATTTGGAGAAGAGACATACAATTTGTACCTCACACCTCGAACGCAGTCTCCTAGTTGTAATTTTCAACACAGGAGGGTGCTGTACTCCTGCAGTACATGACAATGTCACCTAGAATATACTCTCTAATAAGAGCACATGTGAAAATTAAGGGACACACAGTGCATAAAAAAATACATAAGGGGCATCATAAAGGCCTAACTTTCATCAATGTAACTACTTAAATGGAGCTTGCTGAAATCTGGTACTGAAGTTCCAACTACACTGTCAGAACATTTCATTTTGATCCACATCACATACTAACTCACTCATGGAGCCGAGCCCTTCTTGAGAAGCTGCCAGTTATGCAGCTACTCGAGAACTTGCCAGCATTTTATGGAATCTAAAGTTTCATTATCATGTTCACAATACCCCTCCACTGGTCCCTATCCTGAGCCAGATCAATGCAATCCACACCATTCTCAGCTTTAGTTGGGGGTACACGGTAGCATAGTTGGTTGAGCCACTATGCTACAAGCCGGAAGGTCACGGGTTCGAGGTGAATTTTTTCAATTTACCTAAACCTTCCAGCCGCACTATGGTCCTGGGATCTACTCAGCCTCTAACAGAAATGTGTACAAGGAATCTTCCTGGGCAGGTAAAGGGCGGCCGGCGCCTAAGGCTGACAACACCACCACCATCTGTGAGCTGATTATCTAGAAAATGTGGGATCCTCGACATCTCACAACCCTATGGGCCTTCATGGCCTGTTACAGGGACAGCTTTACCTTTTTGACTTTTACCTTCATTTTATTGCAACACTTGCAGTATGAAAACTGGTACACATATAGTAGGCTACCTGTGACATCAGGTACAATGGTGAAGAATTGTATGAAATCTCATGTTAGAATTTTATGTTTTTCCATAAATTAATAATGTTTAATTTGAAATTTATATTAAGAGTTATTTTCCAACAAGATGGTACTCCACTGAATTTTAGGATGTACATTTAAGAAGCCTTAAATGCAAATTGAAAGTTAATCAATTCTGTGGATATAATTAATTACAAGTCTCTTTTTGGTTAAAACAGACAACTTCTTTAAGTCAATCATTTCACTGAACACAAACCATTGAAATATGAGCATTATTTCTCAGTGACTCAGTAAGAACAGACAAGTTTATGTGAATTGTGTAGCTCTCTGATTATTCTGTATATATCTATATATACAATTAGACAGACTAACATTAAAATCAATAGAAAGATGTTCAGTCTAATGTAGTACACCTCCCATCACTCAGTTCTCACCAAAATCTCTTTCCTTGCTCTCTTAATAATCTTCTTGTATTTATCACTTCCTTTCACCACACTTTTAGAGTTTAGTTTGCATATAATTTCACTTAAAACTTTGTGCAGCATATGCCACTGCAATTTGTCCAAGCTACTCGTAAGAGATCCACTGCTCCTTTTCTTACGCAACTTCAATTCTTTGCTCAGAAATTTGCTCAGATCGTGAGCTGTTTTAATACACTTGACCTGCTGATTTAATGACAGTTTGGGACACTGTGTACCCCTCTCTTTCTTCTTTGAGCTTTTTGGCTTTTCAACAGAGAGGGCTGTAGTGAACAAAAAACCTGGAGGCAAACTGAGCGAAGACACTGGTTCTGGAAACAAAATTTAATTCTTGGGCAATGTCATTTGTTAAAAATATCTAGCATTTAGTTACCCTCAGAGTGTTTAGAATCATCTGATGGTCAGAATATATAGGTATATGAAAAGGATAGGAGTAAACTGTGATTTGGTTGTTCTATGATATTTGCTTCTTGATTTTTAACCTACCTGGACTAAACAGAGAGCAAATTGCTGATTTGATTTTTCTCTTCTCATATGAAGAAATGCCCTCTTGTTGGTGTTTCCACCTTATCGTGGCGAGGGGGTTTGAGTATGCCAAGGACCCTGAGAGCTATACCAGCGGTAGCGTAGCTACTGGCAGGGCCTCCCTTGCTGGACAGGTCAAAGGGTAGGCATCAGACGAAGAGAGACACCAAAAACTNAGGATATTCTCATTTGAAGGAGAAAGCTCTGGATTGCATTACGTGGAGGAACTGTTTTGGAAGAGACTGTGGACCTGCCATCTGACAGATTACTGATGAATGAATGAGGAAATGATGTAACCTTTATCATCAGAAAATGAGGGTTTTAAATCCCCTGTAGTTATTCTGTGTATGTGGATGGATTTTAACTAGGCAGTAAAGAATGTGACACTAGGCCTGCTGGACCTGTGTATCTACCAACACAGTTGTGCAATGCATGAGCGATAAATGTTAATGTGTTCCTATGAGCCACATTACACTAACAGTACACAGTATGAGCTTCATACTGTGTGAAGGCATAGCAAGTCCTATATCTATGTGTACTGATATCAAAACAAGATAGAGGCAATATTTTAATAATTATTATAAACAAATTTTCATTATGGTACAGGAGCAAGGAAAGAAAAATAGGCTAATGTGTTGAACACTTTCTGATGG